AAAAAAGGAAATTTTTATAATTGAAAGTTATATGTAAATTATACTTTGATAAACTTGACTTTAAAAACAAGTCCGTTATAATTTTTTGAACTTTAAAAAATGAGATACAATTCTTCTACCATAAGAGTCATCCTTTAAAAATATACAATTCAAAACCAGGTGTAATGGCACATGCCTGCAATCCCAACACTTGGGAGGCTAAGGCAGGAGGATTGTGAGTTCCATCTTGGGCTATATGGCAAGACTCTGTCTCAAAAAAAAAATACAATTCAGAAGTTTTTAGTATATTCACAAACATGGTCAACCATCACCACTATCAAATTCCAGAACATTTTCTATAACCTTCCCCCCAAAAATCTTGTACCTAACAGTCCCAAAAACCTTGTACCTAACAGTCCCTGGAAACCACTAATCTATGTACCGTCACATAAATAGAATCAATCACACCACATAAAGTTTTTTGCATCTGGCTTCTCTCTCTTAGCATGTTTTCAAGGTTTCTCTACGTTGTAGCATGTCAGTACTTCATTTCTATTACAAAATAATATTCCATTATACCACATTTTGTTTATCCATTCAAGAGTTGATGGACATATAGGCTTTTTACACTTTTTTGCTATTACAGATAATGCTGCTGTGACCATTTGTGTACAAATTTTTTGTGAACATGTGTTTTCAATTCTCTTGGATACACACAAACATACATGTATGCATGTTTGAAATTGCTGGACCCATGTGGTTAACTCCATGGGTTTTTTTGAGGAATTGCCAAACTGTCTTTCAAAGTGACTGCATCATTTTATACCACTGCTAGCAGTTTAGGAGGGTTTCAGTCTCTTCACATCCTTGCCAGTGCTCTATTGTTTATCTTTCTCATAGCCATCCTAGTCAGTGTGAAGTGGCATTTTATTGTCTTGGTTTGCATTTTCCTGATGACTAATGGTGTCGATTATCCATTTATGTGTTCATTGTCCATTTGTACATCTTTGGGAAAATGTCTACTCAAATATTTTACCCAATTTTAATTGGGCTATTTGTTTTTTAAGTTAAAAAATTTATTGAAGTTATATTTATGTAAGATAAAACTATTCATTTAAAGTGAACAATTTAGAACAATTCACAATGTTGTGTAATTACCACCTTTATCTAGTTCCAAAACATTTCCATCACTCCAAAATAAAACTCCATACCCCTCAGCAATTTCTCCCCCTTCCTCTTTACTTCCAGGCAGCGACAACCACCATTGTGGGTTCTAATTTTGTCAGATTCATCAACACCCCATTGGACTGAACCAAACCTCTTGGCTGAACCAAAGTCAACTGGGAGGGCATTGTAGGGGGGATTTGGAGTCATTGTTGCAAGTGACCATACGTATAAATATAGGTAGATTAAATGACATTGGTCTAAGATGTATAATGAAGATATGTTTTCTTCTCTCCACGGACACTCCTACATTTTGAAATCTGTACTTTTTAAGAAATGTCCTTTTCTCTGCTTCAACTGGTACAAGTGGGAGGTAACTTCCCAAATAAATTCCACTGCTTCAAAGCTCCCCTTGAGCTTTAATTGACCACAACTGGAACACCACCCAAAGCCAACTCAATTGCATACCCTCTGAGATTTATTGTTTTGGAACCCTCTACAACCATTAGATCGTAAACAAGGTTGAAGCAAGAGATGTGAGTTTCAGAATTGTCAGTTTTACGGAAGATGCCTATTTTGGAAAACAAAGCTGAGTGTCAGATATACTTGACAGATGAGATATACTTGCAACATGGATGAACCTGGAGTACATGAAGCCAGGCAAATACTGCATGATCTCATTTATACATGAAATTTAAAAAAGTCAAGTTCATAGAAATAGAGAGTAAAATGGTAATTACCAGAGGTAGGGGTAGAGGAGGAGGGGTGACTGGGGAGATGTTAGTCAAAGGACACAAAAGTTCAGTTAGACAAGAGGGAAAAGTTCAAGAGCTCTATTGCACAGCATTTGACTGTAGGTAAAAACAACGTATTGTATACATGAACGTTGCTAAAAAGAGTAGATTTTAAGTTTTTAACAACAAAAAAATAAGTGAGAGAGTAAATATGTTAAATAGCTTGATTTACCAGTCCACCATGTGTACATATATCAAAAGTACGAATCAATACATACAATATTTGTCAATTAAAAAATTTTTAACAAGATTTCTTCTTATAATATCTCTTTTAGAGCATTTAGATAAATCATTTCTTCTTTAAAAAAAGAAGAAAGAGGAGATACTGAGAATTGCTGGGCAGCATTCAAGGCCCTGAGTACAGTGCACCACAACACCAGCTGAATTTCTCTCACCTCCCACTGTTTGGTCACACAAATCAGAAAGTTCACAGCCAGGCCTGGGTGGGCCATGCCTGCAATCCCAGCATTCAGGAAGTGGAGGCAGGAGGATCATGAGTTGGAGGCCACCCTGGGCTACAAAGCAAGACCTTGTCTCACACATACACACACACACACACACACACACACACACACACACACACACACAATTCAATCTTTTGTCTACACTGGTTCAACGTTGGGTTTCTACTATTTACAACTAAAAAAAGTTATTAACTAAGTGGATTAAACAGAACTAGGCTATGTGCCACTGTAGCCAGAGGGGACATTAAGTGCAGTAAGTTATAGTAGCCATACTTTTGGCCAGTGGGGAATTCATTTGCAGCTTGAATCCCAGTAATGAAGGGGACTCTTTCTGCCAGCGATGTTGGACACTGTCCTCCTCACTGTTAGAGTCTAGCATAGAACAAGGATTACAAGTCAAAGTAGAGAACATGAGGGCAGAAGAAATCTCTGGGTTTGGAGAGCTGGCCATAAGATCAAGCCTTAGATAGAAGCAGCCCTGACATCAAAGGCCCAGCAAGCAACTAGCATCTTACTAACACCTGCCAAGTCCAGGATCTTTGATGGCACAGAACAGAGAATCTTTCAAGTAGTCCTCAACGGAGGCCAGGGAAGTGAACTTCATGAGTTAGTATGGAATACATCCATGCCTGCTCAGTAGGGCCAGAGAATGGCAGTTTCTCTTAGAGGGGGTGGCAGGAAGAAGGAAGCTGAGTTCCAATTGGAGCCTCATCTCTATCAAAAGCAACTGATAAAGACAAAGTAGGATAAAGCAAAGTAGGATATTTGCTAATAAAAAAGACCCTGAGTACTAATGATTCTTTGACGAGAAGGAGATGGAAGTTGGCATCTGAAGTTCTTTGTGTACCTTTGTCATCCTTGTAGGCACCATTTCCCTGGGGCAAGGGAAACACACAAAGATCTCACTACAGTGTGTGGATTCAGCCAGCTCTACCGATGCTTCGTCATTTCTATAAACATTGAGGAAACGAACCCCTGAAGCCCCTGGCTAGGGAGTCCTTCAGCCCACAGACTACTTCAGGCCTCAAGCTAGATATTGGAATGTTTTAGATTTTCTCTTAGGGAAGCGCTTCACTGATCTCAGCCCTCCACTAAAGCCCCCTATAGAAGTATACCAGCCATACATGTCACAACTCTCTTGAGCTCAGGGAAAGACACCTGCAGGGGTTATTCAGTGCCTGTGTGCTAATTATCTTTCTAGGCACTTCAGACAAATATTATTTGGAACTATCACGTCCCTCCTAATATGGTTTCAGTCTGGGCACTCTTGCTTTTGGAGGTCCTAGCTCACGTCATGTTGAAATGAACATATATCTTACTTTAATCTTCTGATAAATTTGAAATACTTTTTCTACTTCTTCTATTTAAATTATTCAGCTTACAAGTTACTCAATGAACAATTCTGTGATTTCCCAACAATAATTATGAAAATTATGAAATTACAAAGTGGAAGTACCTAACATATAGATTGTTTTGAAATGTTGCATGAATGTAAACATACACCCATTATTGAGGTTGCCATAATGTTTTCTTTGTTGGCATGTAAATAAAATGCAAGATTTGGTGGGGGGGGTTGGTTTTTTGTTTTTTTGAAATCAAAAGCAAGCATGTTTTCCAGACCTCAAATATCTTTGTCCTTGAAGACTTCAGACTTCTGACCCCTCTTACTCAATAATTGAAAACAACCTGCTTGCTCTCTGTTTAGGAGTAAAACAATCATAAAAAATAAGATCCATTTATAGAAGTGAAAATTAAAGGAACTTAACTTAGAAAATACTTTTTAGGGAGAAAATTTTTTCTTTGAACGAAAGGAATTCAGTGAGTTTCTTTCCTTGGGAGTGCAGGCAACACGTGAGGATAATGCACACTGATGACGACACCTGTTCACACAATCATGCTGAGACTTCTGTTCTCTTTTGAAGGTTGAGTTCCTCGGAAGCTGACTCTTAATAGGGAGGTTTTCATGCAGAATGTTTGCTGGCTGTCCAGATCTATACCTGTAGAAGCAGGTAGAAGAAGCAGAACTTGGAAAAAGGAGAATGTGAACTTCCACATGGAAGATCCAACTGGGATGGATCTTTAGAGATAACCCCATTTGAGGCAAGAAAGATGAAGCCTTTATATGGACATTGACTAGTCATTGAATATGAGCTGAACCAAGAAGGGAATACAACACTGAGTGAGGTAGCTCTCCTTAGCCAAGGGCAGCCCCTTGAAGAGCTCCACAGCTGAAAGCTATAAGTCACCAATATGCTCGGCCGCTGGAATGATGAACAGTTCAGCCCTAGGTGGGAGTGGGGATTTGGATATCACACTACAGCATCCACTGCACACTTTACCCAACACTTCTCAAAGTTTAAATGCATACAAATCACCTCAGGGACATTGTTAAAAAGGAGATTCCAACCTAGTAGGTCTACAAAGGACCCCTAGATACTGTATGTCCCTAAGCTCACAGGGGATGCTGATATTACTCATCCATCCACCGCAGTGAGTAGCACAGCTCTAACGGCAACTTGTCCCTCACTAGCATTGTTCTGTATGATTCTCCTCAAGCAAGAACCACGGGAGCATGTGGATCATGGGGACAGAGCCCATCATCACTGAGGGAGGCATTTTGCACTCACCAGTTCCCTCACAGCAGTCTTAACATCCTTGTTCCTCAGGCTGTAGATGATGGGGTTCAGCATGGGGGTCAGAAGTCCATAGAACAGGGAGATGAGCTTGTCTGCAAGGTCCTGCTTGTCTGCCCCAAGTGGATCCCTGGACTTGGGCTTCCCATACATGAAGAGGATGGTCCCATAGAAGATGACCACGACTGTGAGGTGGGCAGAGCAGGTGGAGAAGGCCTTTTTCCTCCCCTCAGCTGAGGGGATCCTCAGGATGGTGGCAATGATGAAGACATAGGAGAAAGAGATGAACAGGACTGGGACGCCCAGGAAGATTGCATTGGCTACTGCCATGCTGACCACGTTGATGGAGATGTCAGCACAGGCCAGTTTCAGCACTGCCAGGACCTCACAGGTGAAATGATTAACGACATTGTCCCCACAAAAGGGCAATTGTACTGCAAGAGAGATCTGCACCAAGGAGTTGGCTCCACCAGCCACCCAGGAGCCAGCAGCCATGGGCACATAGGCAGCCTTGCTCATGACCACAGGGTACCGAAGGGGGCTGCAGATGGCCACATAGCGGTCAAACGCCATCATGCCCAGGAGGACACACTCTGTGGCTCCCATGGCAAAGGAGAGAAACATCTGCACAGCGCAGGCTGAGAAGGAGATGGTTTTCCTGGGAGTGAGGAAACCATCCAGGACTAGAGGAACTGAGGAGGTCGTGTAGCAGATGTCCAGGAAGGAGAGGTTCCCCAGGAAGAAGTACATGGGCGTGTGCAGGTGGGAGTCAAGGATGGTCACCAGGATGAGGACTCCATTGCCCAGCAGGATCACCAGGTACGTGGACAAGATGAGCACAAAGAACGTTTTCTCCAGCTTTGGATGTGCAGAGAGGCCCAGCAAAACAAATTCGGTCACAGTGGACTGATTGGATGCTTCCATTTCAAATTCTCACTTTCATCCTCAGGAATACTGAAGGCAGAAAATATATGTTCGCTGATTGGCTTGCTTGCCTCTACATACAGGAATCACAGCACAATGTCTTTTAAATTGTAGATAAACCTACCCTTTGAGATTCAACTAGAAAACCAAGTTATCTAGAAACAAGGCTATGGAAGAGCAGATCTTTAAAATGTAACGAAATTTAATGAAATGAAAGACATTTCTATCTAATCAACTAATATACCCAAAGCAATATGATAGTCCACATACGCTGTCCGTAGCACTTTGAGCAACTCTGTCTCCGACCTTGGGTTATCACAGCTCAATGACACTGGCCATTGAGTCACATGGTCTATTCCTCTGCATCTGGTTCCCCTTCATCCAGCACATTTAAATTATAATTTGATTTCCCTTATAGGAACTTATAGGGAGAGAATGTATTGCCTTGAAAACATAAAATTTTGTATCACCTTAACAGTTTTCTTTCTTACTCAGTGTCTGCTTTAAACTTCAATCTTTTGCGAGTTTCATTAGTGTAAATCAGTTTATCTGACTCTGACTCTTCACTGAAAAATCTGACCAAATTGAATTTCTGGAACCTATAACTTGGAGGTACCCCTTATCCCTGCCCAAAAGTCTCCAGAAATCTAGACCGTAAAGGACTCATGTGTTTCCTCCTGTAACCACAGCCAACAGCCCACATCTTTGCTGCTCTGGGACTTTCCTGCTATTGGAATAGAGTCTTACCTGATTGTTGGAGCCCACTTAAAGTTCACATCCCCAGCTTGGGTTGGGTGGGGCTTTGAATCACATTCACATCAAATTAGGAGAGAAATGCCATTTGATGCCATTTAGTAGGGTTTGCAGACATATTCAAATGCAAATGTGCTCAACCTCCCAAAACCAGAAATTACTCTGTAGATGATCACAACTTTACTGTCAAAGAGGTTCAGAACACCAGATGTCATCAGGCCCTGTCACGGGGTGCCCAAAATGGCATGGAGCTGGGTGCCTAATAGCTCCCCAGGTGCTGTTAGAAATACTGATTTCTGAGTCCTTCCTTTGCAGATTGTCTTAGCAACCCAGTTCTTTTTTATTTGCTTGTTTGTTTTTTTTTTAAAATAAAGGTTCCCAGCTGGGAGTTCTGGTACATAGCTATAATTCCAGCACATGGGAGGTGGGGAAGGAGGATCTGGGCTACATAGCAAGACCCTGTCTCAAAAAAACCACACACACACACACACACACACACACCAGTTTCCATGTACTTCTGACATACACCAGTCTTGGGAATAATTGACTTATTTCAACCCCTCTCTAATCAAAGTTGGGAAACTGAGGTCAGAGGAGGGGTTTGAGCATTACCTGGGTCTTGAAGGGTGCTTTTTCCTAGCTGGTAATGATACAATGTCCAAAATAAGTTATTTTAGACACCTGGGAGTAAGGGATGAGGAACTCCTTTTAGAAAACAGCTCCTTTTAGTGTCTGGGAGGCAGCTCCTTCAGTCCTATGGAAATAGTCACCTGTTTCCCACCTCCTCTTACTCCCAGTTCCCCCTGCCTGAACTATTTGCAGGCAGCCTCTCTTTTTTTTTTTTTTTTTTTTTTGCTTTTTTTAGTTGTCCTGGGGTTTGAACTCAGGACCTCACATGTTCAAGGCAGAAGCTCTACCACTTGAGCCACTCAACCAGATGCAGGCAGCTTCTTTTCTTGCCTCCTAAAGGGAGGAAAGCTGGCAATAGAGGTCACCCAGCACTCACCTAGTGTGGGATTTTGTCTAGGCTGTATCTGTCACTTGCAGGAAGGCAGACCAGTAGAGGGGGAGGTAGCTTATTTATGAAGGTTAGAACATATTACTGGCTCTGGGTTACTTGCCCACCTGGGTGCTACCTGGCCATAATCAAGCAGACCATGCAGGGCGTGTCTTCTCAGAGCTGCATCAGCAACAGCTGGGTGCCCATGGCATATACTCTTTAACTGTTGTCTCACTTCCTGGCATCTTGAGTGCAGAGAGGTATAAGGTGCAGTCCCAGTCCCAGCAGTCCTTTCCTCATCTTGGGGTTCAGTGAGACAAGTTAACGTAGGCTGTCTCTCAAGCCTGAGGCTCAGCTAAGAGCCCCAGCCTGGAGGAGGCTGCGCCTAGCGTGAGCTAGGGAGCCATGGCCAGCAACCAGGTCCATACCCTGTCTCCTCTGTACTCCATGCTGCTCTCCAGGGATCCCAGAAAGATTCTCTCAGGAACTTACTGCTGGGATGCTTTAGGGCCTGGCCCTATCCCAGAAGCAATTTAAAGTTTGGTGAGAGGCTCAGAGATGAGACTTCACCCTATAGACCCAATTAGACCACTCGTAGAAATCATTCCAAATGCACTTTTCACTACAGAAACTTCAGCTCAGGAAGTTTTCTGGTGCTAGATACTCAGACTTCTCCTGGTATTTGATCACAGTGACTAATTCAAGGTGGCTCTATCACCAGGAGAGTCTAGAAAGGAAGAAGAGTTGGCCTCGGTAATCCAAATTTTCCCAGGAACGATGGACCACATAGATCCCCCAGTCACTCAGGCAACTTCTCCTCCCCTCCACTCAGTGCTCTCTCTCTCTCTCTCTCTCTCTCTCTCTTTCTCTCTCTCTCTCTTTCCTCTGCCAGCCATCCCTCACTCCAAACAACCTCTGTGCTACAAACATGTCAAATATGCCTGGCACTTGAGAGTTAGGGTGGATTGAGACACGATGACCAGAAACGAGCCTTTGTTCTCAGAGAATGGCCAGCAAGTGAACCTGTCTTTATACCAAGGCATGACTGAGGGAGTACCACAAAGTTGTCTGCAGGGCTGGGCACAGCAGGAATGTGTGGAGCTAGCCTAGGATGAAAATAACAAAGATAGAGGAGAGCATGGCCCTGGGAGACATAAAGAAGTAAGAAATTGTAGGATTTAGCTGTCACAATGACCTGACAAACAAAAGTAACATGTTTCTCTGAGTTTTATGAGCCATTCTAGCAAACGACTGAAACTGAGGAGGGGATTGTGGGGATCCCCTGACTTTTGAGCTGTTGGTCAGAAGCCTGGGTGGCTAGAACTTGTGACTGGCATCTGAAGTGGGAACAATACTGTTGGACTGAGCCCTTAACCTGTGAGGTATGTGCTGATTCCAGGTAGTCAGTGTCAGACTTAAATTGTAGGACTCCCAGTTGGTGTCTGAAAAAGTAGAGAGTTGGTTGGATGGGGAAAACCCCACAAATTTGGTGTCAGAAGTGTGAGCAAAACAGAGCCTAGTAGTAGAAGGATACTTGGGTTGTGAGCAGGTAGAGGGACCCTCCTACATTGGGTCATAGTGCCTTGCATTCATGATATGTGCCATCTTTGACCTCATCCCAGTGGATGCCAGGATCCTCTCCTCCATCATGGTTGACTTCTGGAAGTGTTGGGAGATGATGTGGGGTTTGTGGAAAAACAGCCAGGCCTCACAGTTGGACAGATGCTATATCAGTCAGGATCTGAGTGGCTGCTATTGGCTCCTCTGAGTAGGGCTTTATGTCTGCTAGCTCCAGGGGCCTCCTAGTTTGGAGACTCAGCCACTCTGGCCTCACTCTTTTTCCTCCAGCTAGGATTCCTCTCTGCTCTTCCCTATGCCCCACTTCAGCAACCACAGGTCAGGCTTCACTGTCTGCTTCTGACATTGTATTGCCATGCTCCCTTCTTCTTCCTCTCCCTCCTTTACATGAATTGCTACATCATTGTGTTTCAAGTTCAAGCTCCCTGAGAGACAGATCAAGGTGGTTTGGTTAGTTAACAGGCCACTGGACACCCTATGTACCGACTGCCCCTTGGTCAGGTGTCTACCTGGCTCAGTCACCAGTACCTGTGGCCAGGGTGCCTCCTTGTACACAGCATGGAAACAATGTAAGGAACCTTCTCGGAAGGAGAATGTGGGTATATCAGTCAGCAAGGTTTCCTGGAATGAAGTTGGAAATCATGGAAATTTTATTTGATAACCCACATTTAGACATCAGGAAGTACACACTCACTTCTCCACTTTGTGCATACCTTCACCATAGTCTCTTCACCATAAGGAGGCTAAGGTTTGGCCCTCACACCCCATCTGCATTCAACCTCATTCTCCCTCCTCTTCCTTCTTCAGAGAAGCTCCAGTTCTCTGACCTGACAGTGTCTGATTCCAAGCCTTCTTTTATCTCAAGATCATGGTGGTTCTTTCCCCATTCACAGAGGTTGGACTGCTGTTCATGATTTCTGACAGAACTTTCAAGTCTCTTGAGCAGCGTGGAAACCTTTAGACTTAGGGATCCCAGGAAGACATGGCAACTCCAAGGTGTGTCATGCCTGCATTTGTCCTCAGGAAAACACACTAAACACAACTGTCTCCTCAAGAAATGCTCAGGTGGCTTGTGTTCTGACAATTCATCCTTGGCAATCATTTTTACACACACAGACACACACACGTGGAATAAGGAGATTTTGACCAATTTTGTCTTGACCAATCAAAACCCAAATATCCCCTGACTGTTCTGTCAGTAGGACTTCTCTGTGTCAGGAAATGGAGCCAAGAGATGTGACCATTGCTAAGCCCGTGAGAGCTAGCTCCACACACCATGAAGTGTGTCCTGCCTCCTCTGGGCTTTCACCATGGCCAGGCATTCTTCCTGTCCCAGCACTGTCTTCCTCATTTGGTAAATATCTTTCATATTTGTTTTGTAGTCCCACTCCCCACCCCAGCTTCTGGTTGATGGGAATGGAACCCAGGGCCTCATACAAACTAGGTAAGCATATCACTGAGCCCAGTAACTGTCCTGTCAGGTGCTCTCTTGCCACCAGAGGGCGCACTCCCTGACGTAGCACACTGAGTTCCTTTGCATGTTTTTGAATTCTCTGGACCCATCGCTGTCCTGGGTCACAGTCTATCAGTGACTCCAACAAGGTTCAGGATCATGAGTGCAGATGATAGGAAGCCAGAAGAACAGTCACTTAGTTGGATCCCAAGCAAGG